ACTTAAAGAACACTCCAAAGCCTTAAGCTTGGTGAAAGCATTTACCACCCTCAATATGTGCTGCCTAACATTTCCGCCAACAGTGTATTTCTGAAGAAGCTTAGCAAAAAGCTCATGAGCATACACTTTGTCGGAGCCTTTAAATTGCTCCTCCATTTCAGTGAGGAAATCTTTAGCAGTGTCTTTCTTAGGGAGTGCTTCAGAAATGTCCGGCGATATTGTCGCTTTCATGATGAGAAGCGCAATATGGTTGGACTTGTTCCACTTTTCCATCTTAACATCATAGTCCTTCTTGAGTTCTGCATACCCTGTGACACCTGCCACAGGTGCCACAGGTTTTTCTTCCCTCAAGGCATAGTCAAATTCATTACAACCCAAACATAATTCGACTTGGGACTTCCAACGAGGGAAGTTACTCCCCGTAAGTGGTTCGATCGTGTCGGACCGGAATGGAGCGGAAGCTAAAATCATCATAAAAGTTCATAAGTAAACTTGCATGATTATAAATTTACGTTGGTAAATAAACAAACATGCCAAGTATTTAATTTCAACTCCATGTCAAAACACCGTTGGGCAGAAAAAACATGAAATTAAAATATCATAGGGGATGACTCATAATAATAAAACAACGTTGGTCCGAATTAAAATTAGAGTCATTTCATTTTCAATTTAAACATCAACATAAAAAAATATTATCATTATTTGATGTCTAAAAAATTTCATCATCCAAAAACACATAATAAATCCTGAATGAAATATCTCGTTGGTTCAATTTTACCCAGAATAATAATGTGTTTATTACATTTTTTACGCATTTTCTGGTTTAAACAGTTCAAAGCATAATGTTTATATTAACTTAAACGCACTGGAAAATCAGAAAATCGCGACAGTGATTTTGGCCCGAAATACCCCACAGCTACACGTAAAACGGCCCAGCCCAGAAGAAGTTTTTGTGTGTGTGTGTGTGTTTTCGCTGGACTGACATAACCTGGGCCGCAGCCCACAGCCGGAATCGGCCCATTAGCGCCCGCTGGCCTAGCAGGGAGCCGCGCGGTGCTCTGAGTCGTCGGATCGAGCCGACGGCTCGGATCACCCCAAACCCGAGCAAAACCTGCGGCTGGGTCAAACCCTATCCATTTCCCCACGACTCCCCGCATTTCACGCTCGTACAGTGAGCTGCGACGGCGTTCGACGGCGGCTCGAGGCGCGCCGGCCATGGCGGCGCGGCGGCTGCGCTCGCCGGAGGAGCGTGCAGCAGGATGAATCCCGCGCGCTCCCCCGTCGAGCGTGGCCCCAGCGCCCGTGCACATGGCGCATCAAGGAGGGTGGAGGGACGCCGGCCACCGCGGCATGAGGAACGACGACGACTTGCTCGGCGTCGGCCAAACAAGGGCGCGTCCATTAGAGCGGCGGCAGCGGCGGCGCCACTTCGTGCCGTGCGTCGTCCCGAGGACGGTGGCGTCGCGACGTCTTCGCCCTCGCGCAACGGTGGGCGCTGCACGGGCCCCGAAGGGAAGAGGCGAGTACGCGGCGCGTTAGGTGAGGATTCTCCTCATTCTTTTCAAATCCGTGTACATCAGTGCTTGATTTGGGGTGAAAATAGTCCTAATTTCAGAATTAGGGTTCTTTGGAATTGGGGATAAATTCTAGGGTTCTTCAACATGGGGGGGGGGGTTGCTACTGTTGATCCCTCTGCCTTCTAATTTGCTTATGAAAAACCAGAATCAGTACTTAAACATGATTGATTCTAATTAACCGTGACATAACCATGAGCATTAATCTTTAACATGGGTTAATTAAAAGGAACTGACATTAGCAGTAATGATCCGAAGCAAAACTAGGGTATCACATAATTATTTGCAGACGGCAATTGGCATGAACGTCAAACAGTAGCATGATCATAGGGCTAAAACTTTCAATCTTGATCATAAAAACCCTAAACCTGATTTGATCTAAACTTGATATTGATCTACAGATCGATAATATAGGGACCTATTGCAATCAAACTTGGCGACTGATACCATTGTTGGGATAATTATGCATCTATAGGATGCCATTAGTAGAAATTGATTGCAACTAGAACACCTAAATGACATGAACAGAGAAGGGTTTAGGGTTTCTTTACATGTCACGGGAGTGGACATGATCGCCTGCTCGGTGCAGGCGTGATGCAGGGGTGATGTAGTCGAAGTAGATGTTCTCCTCGACGTCCTGATTCCTTCAGGACGCCACCGGGACGGGCCGGGGACGGCGGCGGCGGCTGGCTTAGGTCTTCCCGTCACTGCAGCGCTCCCCTGATCGGATGGGGTGAGAATATCGGGAGGAGAGAAAACCGTACGTGAATTATGATCGCGCAGGTGCCCAGCTCTCTTTCGTATCCTTTTATATGGCGCTGGCGACAAGGGACCCAAAACCTGAGTTGGTTTTTGGGCGCCCCCGATCAGAGCGCACTAGTTCTGATCGAGGCTCACGTACGTTGGTACGTGGACCCCTTCACTTATCGTTATCCCTTTTTTCTTTTTTCTCGGTTAGATTAATAGATCTAATCTGGCATGTTAAGCCGTCAGATCAAAACCAACGTCCAAATGTCGCTTCACCTCAATGGCAGCTACCACTTCGTGTTCTCCGTCCACCACAATGTCATCATGTACGGAACACTAGCTACTCGATCGCCGTTCGGTTGTTGAATGGCTAACGAAGCCACTCAATGGCAAGAAACAGTGCCTGCACATGGGGTCGAATGGATGTCAGCTCGATTTAACTGCAGAACTAGACATGTCCAGGATACGCATAAGTTCTCCACTGCAATTATATGCATGATTGTGATAATTTGATACATACAGTACTATATGGCTACTGATAGTAATGCATGTTGCACACGAATGGGTTGTCGTCGTCTTCCTTTATAATTTGTAGCTACGTACCGGCCGACTGGTACCGCAGCTAGGGGCCAGTCAAATGTATCTATCAGTTCGTTTGTGCACGCACACGTGCACCTATTGTTCTACTACGTTCAACCACCATATATATCCCGATCAATCAACGGAATTCCTTGCTACAACTTGTCTATACAATGATTGAACTGAAGAAAATTGTGGGTGTGCCGGCCAATATACATGCATGCTCCGATAAGCAAATATTCCAAATGAATTGATCGTGTTTGTTTGATATGCACTTGAATGGTCTGGAGAATCGTACGTGGAGCTAGTTGCCTAACAACTACATATAAACAAGATATTTGATTCTTTATAACTTATTTGCACGAACGGGTTTCATCCCAAAATATAAGAACGTTTTTGACACTGCTAGTGTCAAAAACGTTCTTATATTTTGGAATGAGCGAGTATATCACGTTAACTTGCCTGGATGACTAAATGGCATGTCAGACCGATTAAATGGTCGTTGTTGGCACATTAACTCGTGGGCGAACGAAGGCTGATTATTTGGCCCATAATCCCTCCCAGCCACTCACGCTCCTAAAGAGCTAGAGTTTAGCCTTCCGCTCGCCGCCTCCTGCTACTCTCATCCCCTGCCAACATAGATGGCAGCTGGCAGGTCCTCATTGGCGCACCGCCGCTTCTCCTCATCCCCAGTGTGTCGCCATTTTCTCATCTCCCTCTGTGCGCAGCTACTTCTCCTCGTCCTCCTCCTTCGCGACCTGCCACCTCCGGCAACCGATCCATTCAGACGCCTTGCGCGACGGCCACCACCTTCCTTCGGAGTTGCATCCCAGGCCGAAATCAGCAAAATGGTACTGTTGTATACATGTTTGTTGATGATTTTTACACCCACATGGATGATTGTTGGTGTATACATGTTTATGGTATATTGAGAAACGAAAATTGTGCCATTTGCTTCATATTTGCACCGTAATTTCTTCTCCATACAAAATTTTCTACTATTGAGTTTAAAACTACACTGATTAATGGTTGGCCGATTAATCCTGTTAATAGGTCGATTCAACGGTTAATCGCTAGTCCGAATTCGACCGAGCAGCTACCAGTTAACGATTTCCTCAACATTGCTAAGGCCCCAACGCCACCAGAACAGTAACCGTCGCCGATGAAGAGAAGTATAGATCGAAAGGATCCAACTTGTAGATGCATGAACGAAAACAAACAAACATTTGATCCAAGGGATCCACCGAAGACCAACACCGACCAAATCCCACGAGACCCGCCCGAGATACACACCTCCACATGCCCTCCGATGACATTGGATGCATCGCTGCGGGGAGGACCTTATTTCATCTTCAGTGAGCCACCATCGTCTCATCTTCTTGAGTAGGACATAAACACTGAAAGAAAAGATCCCTCCTGCCGACACACACACAACCACGCACCCACCCACACACGCGCGTGCGCACACACACATCTCAAGCAACCATTAAAAGCAAATTGCATATTGCTATTAACCAGCAAGCTTGCATAAGGGACTGGTATCTTCGGAATAACAGTACGCATGCAATAAACTAACAAACACCAGCAGCAAGAGACGAAACGAAATGACACCACCTTTTCTTCTACTTTTTTTTCATGAAAAGGGATTATCTGTCAGTATAATTAATAAGAAGCTCCAACACGAATAGCATGTAAAGAAATAGCAACATCCTGGAGGATACAAAGATATCAATATAAAACATCCTCCCAAAAAGACATCTAGTAGGAAATTTAACCATGAAACATCGGCCCACAAGAACACATGCTACACCATAGGCAGCAAGGGAGGAACGGAACTGAAGATATCACAATTCATAGCAAGCCAGACAACGATCAGCCATGGGTGATTCAATGGCACTCACCCCTGAGACTTGTGAAACACCTCCGCTGCTGCGTCCAAGAGTCCTCTAGATGTAAGTCGAAGAGCCATCATTCCCTTTTCCTTCTGCAATGACAAACACTGTAAGCAAAAGGGAAGTTGAAATATTGCCCCAATACGATGAACTAGCACTAATATGAAGAAGTCTTACTTTGCCGGTAGCACGCCAAGGATCATATCCTTCATAAGAGAGGGGGGCAGCTTCTGCACAAGTGATCAAATCCATCCGTGTCCACCACCGCCCTCAGGTTGTCCGGACACCAGAGGAACTCGCAGCACGCCTTCTTCAGCCCATGACAACCGTGCTGCTCGGCGAGTGCCAGGATGCTCGTCACCATATCCACACCGATGTGCTCGCAGAGATTCTTCTCGCACATCAGCCTCAGCCTCTGGAGGTTGTACCTGTCTGCCGCTACGAGCAGGTGTTGCAGCAACACCATGACCTCGTCCTTGCTCTCCTTCATTGCGTGCAGCGTGTCGCCGTAGATGAACTCTAGCATTGCCTTGAACACTGGCGCGTCCATGTCATCTATCTGCACAATGGACGACGACGTGCCTTCCTGCATTGGACCGAAGAGTGCCGCCCTGAAGACAGTAGAGCGGGCCGCCAGGACACAACGGTGGGCGGTGATCGTCTTGCCGCCCACACAAAAGACAACGTCTGTGCCCTGCCCGGCCAGGAGAAGGTCGGTGAAGTTCTGTTGCATGTTGGACGGTGGCACCGCAACAAATCGAGAAGTGCCGCATGTTGGATTTACGACCACGATGTCGCATCGAATGGTGAAACTGTCGTCCTTCAGGTGTTTCTCCAAGGCCTCTCTTTCGATGACTTTGAGCTTACTAGTTCGGAACTCGAATATTTCACTGTCGTGGATACTTGCCGGCTCTTGCTTGTCAGTCTGGTTAACGAAACTGAACTCGAACTGTGCCTTTATGGGCTCTTTAGTGCTCTCGACGAGGCTAAGAAAAAGTGTGATGGAGCCAACGTTGTCCCCGTGTTGAGGCATGTAGTGGATGCACCAGCGCTGGCCGCCGATGGTAAAGGAGTGAGACTCGATGAGTCCGCGCTTGATTGAGTAACCCTGGACGACAAGCAAGTGGTACCCGCTGGCCGCGTAGGCGTTGAAGGTGGGAGAGGTGCCAGATCCCAGGAGCTCGCCGTTGGCGATGGCAGATACGCCCGCGAAGGACATGATGGATTAACCTGCAAGTGACTAAACCTCATGTATTCTTCAAAAAAATATATTAAAAAAACGTCTTGACGCACACTAGTAAGTAAATATAGCGGTATAAGAGTACGTCACAGGCCGGCCAAGAACACAAGGGCATACGCAAACAACGGCTATATCTCTACACTTATGCCGGAAGTTCAACTCTTCTGGCGTCTTATAAGCAGCACAGTACTCAACGGTTGTCTACGGACTCTTCGAGCCTTCAATCAAGGTGACTTGCTCACCTATGCATGCATGCATCTGCCCAACTAATCGCACTCGATAAACCAACCTACCTAAAGCATGACACATGCAAGTACAGTATGAAAAACACACCAACACTATTGTTTAGCTTCATTTAAATATGAATCAACACAACAACACCAATCGTCTTATAAGCAACACTCGATAAACCAACCTTAAATGTAAATTTAGCTTCATTTAAATATGGTCCTGAATTCTCAGATGACGAGCCTTTTTAATATACACTAAAATTTCGGAACATCCTTTGCAATTATGAGGCTGAGGCTGGGCCCCAACGTTTATTTTTATGCGAGCTCCTTATCTATATTACTGAATCACAATGATACAGCACAATATACAAAAAAAGGAGGACGAATCACCCTGTTTCAGACAATGTATAAACTACAGAATATATGGAGTATTTAACCAAAAACTACCACATTTGCCGGAAACGTGACAGAAAACTACCACTCTACGTCTTTGTGCGAAAAACTACCAATTTTTTCCTAAGCCGTGGCAAAAAACTACCAACTCGCGTAATCGCTCGCTTTGCCCGCGCTAACCCCTATTCTGACCGGTTGGGCCCGCCAACAGTTGCCACGCGGGCTAACTGACGCCCGGCGCGCGCGGACGGCCGTTAACGGCCCGTCCCCTGTCGGAACGGCCGCTGTCGGTCGGGTCAATAAGTGAGAGCGAGCGAGCTCAGCCACTCGCTCATTCTCTTCCTCCTCGCTCGCTCTCACTCGTCCTCATCCTCTCCCCTCTCCCTGGTGCTCTGAGCTAGGTCAGGCTGTCGCCGTCGCCGCCGCGGCCATTGCTGCCGGTAGAAGTTGAGGATGCCATCCTGGAATGACGAGGAGAGCTCGGACGAGGACATCAACATGGTTTCAATGGATCCTCAGCTCTTTGTAAGTGCATAATGGTGGAACAGAGTTAGGGTTAGGGTTAGTTCATCCAAGTTGGAGATTCCAAGTTGCTTTAGGTTTGATTCGAAGTTTATGTCAGATGCTAAATATAGCTGTTAACTGAATTTATGTCTGATGCTAATTCTAAGAGCATATTGATGTAGGTGTGAACTTTGGTTATCTGTACTAAGTTTGTTACTAAGTGATTTGTGCTTAATTATAAATAATTGCTTCTGTAGGATGTAGGTGTGAACTGTGGGGTTGTGGAGTGGGTGGATGGTCCTTGGCCAAGGAGCAAAGGTGCATTCTTCAAAGCCAAGCAGATATCATTCAGAACATGAGGAAGGCCATGAAGGAAGTGGAGGGGGACACAGACCTACTTAGGAAAGAGAAAAAGAAGCTGGAGTATCTGATTGCTGATCTGGTCAATGCTGGGCATGCCAGCAAAGATAAGCTGGAGAGGATCAAGGCAATTATGAATGAGTGAAGTGCTTGGTGTGTGGGTTAAGTAATTAGTAGGCCTATATATATAGCTGGCCTTGGAATGTCATGCATGTTAGGTGTATATTTTGGGAAAGTTTTATGTTCTTTCAGAATGGTATGAGGGAGGGAGGTACTCTTATGGTTTAAGAACTAGTTGGTTTTATCTATGATGTAATGACTTTTATGTTAAGACCTACTATGCTAAGTGAGTACTCATGCTAAGTTAATTAAGTAAGAATGTTTTATCTATGATGAGTCTGTTTTACTCTGCATATATCATGTGTGGATAATTGACAGTAGTGACATAGTTGGAAGTAGAAAGCAGCAAGTAACATATATAGCAGAGTGGAAGTAGCTTAGATAGTGTGACAAATAACTTAACATATGTAGCAAGTAGCAACTAACATATATAGATAATCTGACATAGATAGATAGTACTACCATTCATAGTCTGACATAGATAGCAAGTAGTAGTAGATAGTGCCTGACATAGATAGCAAGTAGATAGTGCTGACGAAACTGAGCCTAGGAACTTACTGAACTTATGAAAGTCCAGGACTGACGAAACTGAATTTTTTTGCACTGAACTAACTGAAGGCAGCACTTCACTCCTCCTTCTTCAGCATCTTCAGGCGATGGGAGCGGCGCACTGCAGTCACGGCCGCCCTTTTCTTCTTGCCCGGCGCCGGCTCCACCACATCTTCCTCGCCGCCATCTTGTTCTTGCTTCACCACGACGCCGTCTGGGAGATCGACCTCCGGCAGCGCATCCACGTGGATTGGGAGGTTCCTGTCCCCCTCCACGGCGTCGAGGACGGGAGCCAGCATCTGCACTTCAGGCTCGTCGTCGGAGAGGACGACGACCTCATCCACCTCGTCAGATTCGTCAGACGACTCGTCCTCATCATCTTCACTGGACTCGTCGTCAGAGGACTCGTCGTCTGAAGACTCGCCGTCAGAGTCGTCAGAGGGGCCAAGGACCCATGGATTGCGCCTGTCCCAGTAGGCGTTGTTGATTGGGGCTGGGAGCGCGAGGACGGCGTCGGTGACGTGGTCCGCGGCGGCCGGCGGCGTGGTGGATGAGCGGTACATCCACCATCGGGCGCGTTGCCTGGGGTCGGGGGAGCGCTCCACCTCGCGCATCGCCCACAGCAGAAGGGACGGCGGCGGGATGGTGCGGCCGGCAGGGAAGGCGCGCTGCTTTTCAGCAGCTGTCATCACCTTCACGAGGCCGCGGGCGTGGTTCCTCATCATCGCTACTGGGGAACCAGCGCGCAATCTCCCTGTACTGCGCGCGCATCTCCTGGTTGTTGCCGGCGAGAGCTTCGATGGCCAGCTGCCAGTCCATGGCGACGGCGGTGGCGGTGGTTGTCGGCGGCGATTTCGACAGGAGAGAGGGGGAAGCGGAGTGGGCGGTGTGAGCGGCGAGTGGGCGAGTGAGCAGAGAGCGTGGTGGGTGGCATAATAAACTCGTAGAATCCGAAACGGCTGGGTTTATTCCACGACGTGGTGGGCAACATATAATAAGTTTGGCCGATGTTATGCAAACAAATCACTAGCACTACCCTATTGGTATTGAACGCATGGTTACAACCAACTGGTCCTGGGTTCAAGCCCAGGCCAGACATTTTTTGTGCATATTTTTTTTTTCTAAAATGAATTTGGCAGTCACTTCTGAACTGTACAAAGGGCAAAGTAAAACAAAAAAACAAATTAAAACATGCACCTAAACTGCACAAATGGCAAAGTAAAACAAATAAAACAAACTTAACCCATACATTCAACATTGCACATTGCACACAAGTTCACATGTCTGAATTTAAGCAGTCTAGTAGCAGAGCACAAACTTAGTACCATACAATCAAACTAAGTAGCAGAACACATTGCCACAAATTTAAGCAGTCTAGTAGCAGAGTTTCAATGGTTTCCACTAGCACTAAAATATAGTGCAAACTTGCTAGGGGGTTTCCTCTTCCTCTTGCCTGCTAATATCCCTGATTCTGCAGTGGATGCTCTTGGTGCATTGAATGTTCTTGTTGATGCTGATCCTCTTGGAGCTCTTGTTGATGCTGATCCTGTTGGAGGTGCTGGTGAAGACCTGGCTGCTCCTGCAGAAATAGTTGATGCTGAAGCTCTCTTATCTGCTGCTATTTTTCTGTTCCTCACTGCTTTAGGAGGTGGAGTAGATGAGGCTGGCCTCTCTGAAGTTTGGTGTTGATGTGGTGGTTCTGGAGGTGGGTGACTAGCACTAGAGGAACCCCTAAAAATTTTTCTATTCTCCTGCATGACAGAATTAAGATAGTTAGTACATAATTAAACAACTATTAACTAAACAAAGAATGCAACATTTTTAAATGACCTGGTGTAAGTTCTTTCTCATCTGAAGACTTGGGTTTAGAGCTGTCCCACAGTAAGTAAATCTATGGCCCTGTAGACCACAATTGCTGCATGTAATTGTTCCCATCCTGCTTGTGTCTTTTGGTGCAGGCACCTCAAACTGGCCCTTTCTCCTAGCTGTTTGTTTCTTCCCTGCTTTTTCTTTGAACACTGGTGGCTCAATATCCTGAGTATGGGTGTCAGGCCAGAATCCAGGACCAGGGACAGGGTACACTATGTCTTTGTATGCTTCAATATATAGTGGTTTTTTGAAAAATTCATGCACATAGTCCTCTGGGTGCATGTGAATCTTGCTCATTGCTGCTATTGCATGACTGCATGTCACACCTGTCATGTCCCACCTCCTGCAGTCACATGAGTTAGTAGCTAGGTTGACACAGTACTGATTTTCCTTACTAGACACTTGCCAAATGTCAGGACCAGCCTTATGTGCCTCACAAAATTTGGCATACTTCTTATTCTCCTCTAGTTTCTCTGAATAGTTGGGTGTGATCATCCACCTGCTGTTCTCTGTTTTTTCCCTGGTCTTCTGCCTTTTGATCATTTGCTTAGTCCTTATTCCTTCAAACATAGTTCTAATTGGTTTGGCCCTAACATCAAGGATCATTTTGTTGAAAGCCTCACTCAGGTTGTTCACAACAAGATCAGTTTTGCAATTGTAATCCATTGAAGACCTACACCAAGTCTCCTTTGGAATTTTTGAAAGCCACTTCCAGGCATCCTCACACTCTGCTTTAAGCTCTGCCATTGCTAATTCATGGCCATGTTTGGTGAATGAGTAGCTAGCCTTATCTACTAGCTTTTTTAGTTCTGCTCCTCTGAAACCAGCTGACTGAAAATTTGCATAGATGTGCCTGAGGCAGAATCTCTGAGGGGAATCAGGGAACACCTCATTTATAGCCTTAAGAAGACCCTGATTGTAAATTAATAACCATGGTCATGAACAAAAACAAAT